GTCTCCACTCGCCTGTTTCCGTGACCTACAGCAAGGCTCGTCCCCTTCTCGAAGGCCGCCATGCGTCGACACGCTGCAAGCCAATCAGAAGGCGCGGCAGGATTGGTACTTCGATCAATATAATCCCAAGTATTTATATTAATTTTTGGAATACGCTTTTGTTTATAAAATGTGGAAAAATATAGATTGTCAGTTCCACACCACAGTGTATACGGAGAACAGAATTGTGTTATATTAATTGATGTTGTTACTTACTAGGGCCATGTTCGTTGATCGATTCAATATGCACGTGCGTTTGTTTACATTCAGGAAACGGCTCCCATGACTGCGACATCCGGACATTTGATCCATTACTTGTCTTGGCTTTCCAAAACTACTACATTCAGTGCAGTATGAATTTTGATGCTATACCAATAGGTTAACAATGTATCAAAGTAAATAAAAATTTCAAAACAAACATACACGGTAAAAGGTAATTCAATAATTTGTTTTTAAATAGCTAATCACTTTGATATTATGATGTGGACATTTTAGTCTACATGTACTTGAGATATTAACAAATTTGTTTGTGACAGACCAATAGAGTTCATACTTAAAAAAAGCCATAAAAAATATAAGTATATTTCTTACTTTCCATTAAAAGAATATGTAAAATTAGAAAAGTGAACTTTTGAGATGACTGTATTTGCTCAGGCCATTCATAATTTCCATAGTATTCATGGCCCCTGTCAAATGTACAAAATTAGGGTCAATGTAAGCTCAGTTGAGTTTATTTTGTGTACTAAATGATAGCTTTTATTAACTATCTAGAGATATGACTTATGTATACCAGCTAGCACTGACATAAACTGAACGGCAAAAGAAACTTTGCAGCAGATTGATGTGACTGTAATTAATAAACTAAAAATAAAAAAAGTTTGAGGTAAAGTATATTTAATAAACCAACAATTCCACAAAGTATTGAACAACTCAAACTTGACATTTTGTTGTTAAATATTGTACACAAGACAAACAGTGGGAGTTGAAAATTCAGTCGTCCAGATTTTCACTGCAATTCATTCAAACACGGAAATTGTCACAGACACAAAAAATGTCACTTTAATACCGAATGTGGCCACCCCGTGCCTCCATACATACAAAGACTCAAAAGTCTGATCAGGTCACGTGGCAAGCGGTTCCATTCATCTTGTAGCGCTTGTATCAACTCTTGTCTGTCGGCGGGAGGGTGTGGTCGGACTCTAACTCGCCTGTCCAAGACGTCCCAGAGGTGTTCTATGTGTGATAGGTCAGGAGAACATGCCGGCCACGGTAAGACGTTGACGTTGTTGTTGGCAAGGACGTCAACTACGATACGAGCTGTGTGGGACCTGGCGTTGTGGTGTTGGTACAGAACACCTCGGGGTTGTTGCTAGAGGTAGGGCAGCACTACTGGACGTAGGATGTCATCTCTAAAGTGCTGCGCATTGAGTTTTCCATTGATGGCGACGTGTGGCGTTGTCTGGTCTGCACAAATTCCACCCCAAACTTTAACGCCACCTCCACCGAACGACTTCTTGAACGCAGCTAGCAGCTGTCCGTTCACTTCTGCGACGGTAAAAACGTTGTCTGTCATAAACTGTATACTAACATAACATGTTTTCGTCCGTAAAGACCACCGGATGCCAATCCCGACGCTGCCACCGTCGCACTGTATTATTTTCTATAGGTCCATGTATATGTTACATGGAAAATTGCTTGTTTGTTTAGGTGGACCTGAAAGTGACAACATCACCCCTGCATAGGTATGTAAATAACTAAAGCTAAGATGGCCAGTTCAAGTGATCTCACAAGTGTGTCATTGACACAGGAGGATGACCCTGAGGAAGAGACGATGGAGCTCATCACCTCAGAAGATATTTCGCTGACCGCAAACCCGATTGTGTTTACCGTTTCATCTAACACAGCATAAGTAAATGAGCCGAGTTTCATGACCCAGTTTAATCCATAACTAACTTTAAAATATAACATGAGTAAAACACCCGAAGCCAACATTAAGTATTACCTGTATCGCAGAGATGTCTGACTCCATTCTATTTTTAAATGACTCAAAATATAACAAAAGACTAGCCACTGTTTAAAAAGTTATTATTTGTAGGTATTTGTATTTCTAGCAAGGGCCAAAATATCATTAAATCCTACATGGACACCAATGTGAAAGACGAAAAGACGATGTGATATTATGTAGAACGAAAATAAAGCTTTTAATGAAATAATGTGACTACAAGCTTACGGCATCATTATAATCTCAATAATATGATTAGTTAAACTTTCATGATTTAACAAGACACAAAGCCATGCCTAATAGAAATTAATTTTATTTACTCTTTGGAAGTAAGATACACATTCAGGATATAAAGAAACAATCTTGTCTTTGAGTTTAAATCACGTCTTATATGTATCTGAAAATAATTATCACTGCTGTATATTTTAAGTAGATGCATGTGATTAGATACACATACATTATTACTACTACATGCATCGATAATAGTGTCACACCAAGTTGAACCCTTTCATTTACTATTCATTGTCACTGGTATATTAGTTCCAAACCCGATGGCAATATGACCTTATTCATAATGATATGATCATAGTAAATTCGTTATGGCTGTAACGATACACTCCCTTGTGATAAGACACATCTCCCGATAGGTAAGTTGCAATTGTTTGTTATTTACGAAAAATACGCATCTCTGCACAGCGAATCGCGGCGCCTTAGACGACTTGGACACCTGTGCCCCGTAATCATAAAGAGAAACGTACATGCCAAAGTTCAGCTTCCTCGGTGTGGACAAATATCCTGGAAATGTAACCACATGTGGTGCTTCAGGAGAAGGCAAAACAACAGCAGCTCTAGTGCTCGGTTCACAGTATAGAAAAAGGGGGTACAAACTTGCACTGGTGGACAGAGCTGAACAGTTTGTTTTGGACAGCTTCTTCAGTTCACGAGTTGCATTTAAATAGGTATTTGATTTATTACTTGCCGTCTAAAACCTTTATTTTTAGAATTTCAATGTCGTGTGTGAATATAGGAAGATATCTTCGCGATCCACGTCACAGTAGAATCCAATTGAGTTTAACAAAACAATACTTCAAACATGTCAAAAGTTGACACGTATTAATTTAATACCATGCACCGTCCACCTTAAGAATTCAGGGTTCCTTTCCAAAAAAATATCATAGGGCTAAGGTTATCAATAACTCCCCAATACCTGGACGTACAAGTTTTAAACGGCAAGTAATAAGTAAAATACTAAACTCGCTTTCGCTCTTCAGAAACCAGAACTATTCAAAAGTTGCATCAAATTGGTATTACAAGGGAGCTCGTTTAGCATAGTATGACATCAGTCCAACATTTGTGCTGACTCATTGCAGTGACAATTTTATATTTGACCGAGTGCAACCGCAACCAGTGGAGGAAAGCAAAATTGGTTATCATCTCCACCTGATCTATGTCTCTGAAGTATATTACGATTTCCAAACAACTCGAATTGCAGAACAAATAAAGCAAGGGCAGTTTTCGGAATCAGTGACACACCCAATCCTCCGACAAGAAAAGGTAGCGCTTCAATTGCTAGAAAAACTGAAACCTGACGGATCGATAGATGGCTGTTGGTTGCACAAGACAGATACGGTGGGTTGTTTTCTGTTCTGGGCTGTTTGTTCAAGAAATATAAAATGTAACTGGAGAAGAATTTACTCAAACAGAGATCAGTGAAGCCATGCCAGATTGCTTGCTTTACTACTGATGAAGACAAGAGAAACATCATACATATAGCATGCATGCATGGACACAAGAAAACATTAACGGTACTAAAAAACATAACAGCAAACTATTTAAAGATGAGGTGAGCTGAGGTGAAATTGGGTTTAACGTCGCGTCCAAAATTTATGCACTTATAATAGCGACACGTGTGTTAGTGAGTGAGTGAGTGAGTGAGTGAGAGAGAGTGTGTGTGTGTGTGTGTGTGTGTGTGTGTGTGTGTGTGTGTGTGTGTGTGTGTGTGTGTGTGTGTGTGTGTGTGTGTGTGTGTGTGTGTGTGTGTGTGTGTGTGTGTGTGTGTGTGTGTGTGTGTGTGCTAACTCACTGAGATACTATGCCGCAGTTTAACATGAATACCCCACTCAGACACAGTATACTGACTCCGAGCCGACCAGTCCTTGTTTTAGCACCTTAATGCCGAGTGCCAGACAGGGTAACAACAAGTACCATCTTTAAACGTCTTTTGGTATGACGCGGCCAAGGATCGAACTCCGGACCATCCGCTCTCCGGGCAGACCACTAGACCACGGAAGCGGTCATTTAATGATGATGTGAAGCAAGTTGTAATGAACTCGATAACGAAGGAATGACTCCACCTATGATTGCAGCATACACAGGATCTCAGTGATAACACAGTGCTATCAGCTATTGCACACAATATCAAACAAGAAAGCGTGAATACTGCTGCGGGTGGCATTAAACAACAAACAAACCAAACAAATACACATATTTGGATCAATTTACACGGTATATGAATAGTCTTATAAAACACCCCTTGGGACAATACAGTCTAATCAACTAATGGTATCAGCGTTGAAAATCAGGACAATCCATGTAAATACGTTCTAATAGTAATTGAGACTTACACATTAAAACCAGTTGCATTACCTAGTTTATTGATAGTTAATTATGTTTACATTCCATTTCCCCCTTTTGTACAGGTAATCGTTTCAAAATCAAAAATGGATAGTGGAGTGCGTTAAGTGGGTTCTTTAATATATGGGACAATGACTGCCACCGACCAACCTCACAATAGTATATATATTCAATATAGGAGTTCGTCCTTCCATGGATAAGCTTTGTGCACATCTCCAAGAAACGGTCCACAATGCAAGGTGTGGTTAGGTAATACTGCGTGTAATTTTGAGTGATACAGACGGAGGTTGTGTTGAAAATGAGCTGCATTACACTCGCATTCCTTATGGCTACATCTCTTGTGTCACTCAGTGCTACTGATGTTGAAGCTGACCGGAGGCAGAGTCTGAAGACCCTAAAGTCTCATCTTGAGACTCTTTTAGATCCAGAATTACCACCGATAAATCCACATTCGAGTGCTATTGACGTAGCTATTACAATCGGGCCAGTGCAGGTTCATGATTTGGTTGATACAACCCAAGTTCTCACACTGGGAGCCAATGTGATAATGCATTGGAAAGATATGGCTCTAGTTTGGAATACATCTGACTATTCGGACATCAGTAAAATAGAGATATCTCCAGACAAGGTATGGCAGCCTAATGTGGTTTTGGCGAACAAGGCTTTTGATGACGGTCCCTTACGGACCACAATGCCCATTCAGTTGACAAGTGACGGCTCACTGTCTTGGCACAATGTCATGACGATTTCAGTGATATGCAAGACCTTCCTCTCAAGATATCCATTTGATAGCCAGATTTGTCCAATGACATTTACCCCAGGAATGGGATATGACATAATCCTGCATCCATTCGTCAATTTTTTAACTCATGGTTTGAAGGTAGACACTAATGGAGAGTGGGAGACTGTCAACGTTACGTCCTCAACATCAACCTTTGCCAATGGAGGTACATTCCAGGGTGCAATATTCTACGTTCATCTGTCCAGAAAATACTTATTCCACATCTTGAACCTGGTTTTCCCAATGTGCCTACTGTCTTTCCTGAACAGCTTCGTTTTCCTTCTGCCTGCTAGCTCGGGGGAGAAGATGGGCTTTCTCATGGCTGTGTTTGTGTCAAACGCACTGTTCCTCAATCTGATCCACGATTCCATGCCGTCAACGTCTGATACAGTTTCTAACCTCTCTCTCTACCTCGTCGCAATCCAAATCGAAGGTTTTCTCGCCGTCGCTGCCACCATCTTGGTACAGAACGTTTACCACTGCCAGATGAACAGGAAGGAGAGCGGTGCAAAGATAACACAGGTTGTGCCTCAGGATTGCCTCCAGAATGCCATGGCTAGACCTATCACTGCTGAGACCCCTACCGTGCATACGGATCGCAAACATGGGGAGACAATGAATTACTCAAAAAAGAGAATCCCTTCACTGGACAGAAAGCTGGATTGTGTTTTCTTTGTATGTTTCACTGTTTTCGCCATTGTGGGCTTATTGTGTCTCATTTTTGGATAAATGTGTACGTGAAAGTGACACAGATCCCGCTTCAAAGCAAAAAGACGCACTGTTACGACGTAAATTGTAATAAAAAGGTAAATTGTAATACTTGCAGCAAATTGTAATAATTTTGACGTAAATTGTAATAACAACGTTAATTGTAATAATATTTGACGTAAATTGTAATACGCAAATTGTAATAAAAATTGACGTAAATTGTAATAATCTCTACTTGCGGTAAAATGTAATAAATTCTTACGTAAATTGTAAAAACCTTTCTACCGTAGTGTCCAAGACGCCAATTGACTAGAAATGATCTTTGTCAGTTGAGCTTGCGTTTCACATGTACAATTCGAGAAATACTGTGTATGATGACAACCGTACAAAACTGTTAAGTTAGGGATGGTTGGTATAGGCTTTATCGTACAATCGTCATTAAAGGGTGGTGTCTACATCGATAAATTTAAATGACTGAAAGGTCCATCCACGGGTTCAAAACGATGGGTTATACAACCGTATATTCGACAAATAACTTAATTGTGACATATTGGTCAATACTCTTATAAGGCTATTCAAGATGTTTTTTGCATGACTTGCTTCAACAGTACGTTGACCAGTTCGACACGACTGAACGAGTGATGACGAAGGGTACAAAAACAGGCTGATCAACCAGTGTGTCGATTTGCAGTAGAAATGCTATACAAGTTGATAAGGAGTACATGATCATTTTCTTGAAACAAACGAGGGAATTTAATCATATTTATACAATTCATTTTATTTTGACGAAGAATTCAAATACAACAAATGAGTTGACAGATCCCGTGCATACACAAATAACATCCGGTATCTTCGGATAACTCTTGTACAGTTTCAAAGAGTATACGAATTATCATAAATTTCTTGCAATCAATTGCTGAAATATATCTGCTTGTATCCAAATAGAAAGGAATTGAAAATTTTATAATGAAAATATGTTTGTCACTAAAGTAAATTTTCTCTTTGACCTTGAAACGTACTTGAAGATCATTAAACTCGACAGTCGTTGGTGGATTGCGCCAAGAAACATTGATACGAAATATATACATACAATAATCCCCTGAAAACATAACCTCCTCTGAAAGATTAAGAGGATTAAAGTAATTTGGGCTAACATCAAGCACTGTAATAACATACCCTCTTAAAATTCCAATAAAATGACTGGTGACTTACCAAAAAGTCAAATCCGATTTTTTTTTTACCTAGTTCTAATTGCCTACCCTTATCACTGAAATTGAGGTAAAACTTCTAAATTTGAGACTGCAATATATGTCTTCAGAGGGTATTTCATACACTATGTAACAACTGTTTTACCCCATTTCAAATTTGGTTTCATGCTGAATCGCTCTTTTCAACTACTGCTAACACACTTTAAATGCAAGGAAAGCATCCCAAACATATATTTTTATATATAAATACATTGTGTTGATAACCACGTACTTAACCTACAGAAATAACATTCCAGTGAGTTTAAATATATATACAACAATGTTCGATATATCAAGTTTCAAGTTCTCACACCCCCCACTAAGTCATATTTAATGACGATTGTACGATAAATGCTATATTCGTACCGAAAAATTATATATATCGAGCTATATTCGTACCGTAAAATTATATATATAATTGTTCGGTACGAATATAGCTCGAGATACTTTTGTCATGCAGTGAGAAAACATGCATGTTTGACACACACAGTTATTATATTTGTGAACAGTAATCCTTATACAACTATTGATATGTAAAGGGACCTTGAATAGTAAACTTTGATATATACATCTTTACTTTATCCGTTACTTGTTGGGGACATGTCAAGTCAGTTGAATGTTTGCTTTTATGTGTTCACCAGTGCAAATTGCTTTTCTTTCTGATTATTATACCAATGACATAGAGCTCATATTTACTGTCATTACATACACACCTACATGCGCGCACACATACATACATACATACATACATACATACATACATACATACATACATACATACATACATACATACATACATACATACATACATACATACATACATACATACATACATACATACATTATCCTCTGAGGTAATTTTTGTCCCTATATATGTCACAAATTAGTGATAACTTATGAAAAACGTAATTATCTGTTTCGAAAATTATGAACCGCATTATACGTGAGGTACCAAATTTGGTATCAAGGTTGCTTGGCGCAATCCACCAACGATTGCCGAGTTTAATGATTTTAGAATACTCTTCGTATAAGGTCAAAGAGAATATTTACGTTTTCATTATAGATTTTCCATCCTTTCAATTTTGATAAAAACAGATATATTTCAGCAATAATTGATTGCAACAAATTTATTATACATTCTGATGCTCTTTGAAACTCAACAAGACATGCCCGAAGATACCGGATATTATTGTGTATGCTTTGAATTATGATTTCTTGCCGTTATCATGAGGGATTCTGTTTTTGTTGTTGGGGCAAGGAGTTATTATCCCAGCAAAAGTTGTCAGTAAGTTGTTGTTAGTTCTACATGACATATGAAAGGAATCCAGACAGTTACATTTATTCATTTATTTCATTAAATATACTTCTTCCTATGAAAGGAAATATTTTATGTTATATTAATGATCCATATGTTAATCATACATTGCTACAAATATTGCAAAAGTTAACATGGTTTGCATTTATTTATTATTATTTCTTTATCTGTGAGAAGTTCACATAGATCGAGAATACACAATATCTAATAGTATATGCAATGTAGGTAAAGAATATCCACGCCCCTCTTTTGATATTAATAAAAACATTGTATATAATGTTATGTATTAAGTATTCTCCTTTCCCATGCATGGGGAATCTATGCTGCATTTGCTGACGACTGTTTTTTTCCCTTTGATATTGCACAGGAGATCTGTCACTCATTTGTTGTATTTTTTTAATTCTTCGTCAAAATATAATGTATAAATACGATTGAATTGTCTCGTTTGTTTCAAGGAAACGGTCATGTGCTCCTTATCAAATTAAGTAAACCTCCAATGCAAATCGACATAATTTCAGGGTCCGGTTGCACAGAGCTCTCTTCGGTAACTCGTAACTCAATGTTATTGCAATGGACTCCTAGCTAAGCTACTATTGGATGATAAATCAATTAACCTATTTGTCGAATAGACGTACCTAATGTTATCCATCATTTTTAACCCGAGGATGGATCTTTCAGTCATAAATTTCGATGTGTACAGTTGTTAGAGTATCATTCTAACAATACAGACATGACACAAGCTGCACGTAAAATAATTGATAAAGGTAGTCCTTGCGGGTTCACATACCTACATGTACATCGCCCAGGACATTGTCATTATTTGCTTTACATCCTCCGAGCAACGTTAAAAAATTGAAACTTTATTCAAGTTTAAATAAATTGATATTATGTATATGAACATGTATAAATCAGCTTGCACACAGACTACTGCAGAATGACATGTCAATCATTTGCTAGTTTAGTTTAGTTTAAACATATTTTATTCACAGAACAAAATGAGAATTGTATTGGGGACAAGTTCTTGCAACTTAGTAGCCCCTCTCCGCATAAAATATGTACAAATATACAGTTGCAAAATAAATAAATTTGCTTCAGTCAGTAAATGTCAGACTTTCCACATTTACACATCAATATATTTGTGTAAGTTTGTTACGTCATAATTATTTCATTGTGTATATTACTACCTACTTTACCAATTGAAATATGATTCCATTAGATTAAATATGAACAATTATGATGAAAATCGTCAATAGGATATATTACAATTAAGTGCAAAACACACAGAGTATTTCTCAAATAAATAAGAAAACTAAGTTCATTCTAGTAATTAATCCTCTTCTGGACAACCATAGAAATGAAATTCCAATGCGTTTATATTTACAAATAATTATACAACTATGTACGATAACGACCTCAATCCTCCCCCACACCCATACTTTAATGACGATTGTACGATAAACCCTGTACCAACCCTGACAAGGATAGGTTCTAGTCATTTAACGCCTTTGACACTAAACTCATAAGGTTATTACAATTTACGTAAAAATTTATTACATTTTACCGCAAGTTGAGATTATTACAATTTACGTCAATTTTTATTACAATTTGCGTATTTCAATTTACGTCAAATATTATTACAATTTACGTTGTTATTACAATTTACGTCAAAATTATTACAATTTGCTGCAAGTATTACAATTTACCTTTTTATTACAATTTACGTCGTAACAAGCACGCCTTTTCCAAGTCAACAAAAGTCACGTGACATTGCACAAAGTTACCCTCAGATCCATCGAACAGCTGTTTTTCTAATAATTTTGAATTTGTTTTTATTCTTTTACAATGTCATATTAGAACATGTCAGTAAGACAAATGCGTTGTAGCAGTATATCTCGGGGTACATGGCGTTTTTATGCGTCTGGCTCATGACACCTAACGCAGGACGAATAAAACCACATCTACCCCTCATGATACTGCTACAAATTATATAACACCTTCTGATACATGATGGCGTGAAATCTGAAAATATCCTCACGCATCCTTGATAATATATTCATTGCACACTGACGTCAAGGCTTCCTTGCATTTAATGGCTAATACATTGTTTCTTCAATATCCTTGACACTATATGTTATTTTCGTTCGTTTTATTTCCAGATTATTTCTTCACTTTGATATTTTAACAACGTGAGACAAATTGTCTGACATGACACTTCTCGTTACTTTTTGTTTACTGCATTTGTTATTAAGGGATGTGTTTGGTTTCCTATTCAGGTGGAGTAAAAGATATCGCTACTTACTTTTGTCCTTAAATTGCTTTCAAATGTTCGCTTTGCTGTGATGCGTTCCGTGGGCGAACCAGAAAATATGATTATTGGCATGTGTTTTATCACTGCATTTGTTACGAAACATTATGACCAAATATTATGTTTATATCAATAACATAACATTTACGCCACTCTCTATGAATCACAGTTACTTTTTTTCGCTATTATGTTATATATTTATGTGCAGATGTGTAATGTGTGTTGTTGGTTTTAAGTAATTATTAAAGTTCCCTATACCGTGATATATTTAACCTCGTTGTATGGTCTATGGTACATAGATTGACATGGTTTAAATGATAAGCAGGAAAGCCATTACTATTAAGAAGATGCATTAGAAGGGGCATTGTTGATGGGACAATAACAATCTAACAATTGATACTTCGTAATTGAAACTGGAGATACTAATGGTGTTACTGTTTGTTGTTTAACCCCGCACTCAGCAATATTCCAGCTATATGACGGCGGTCTGTAAATAATCGAGTCTAGACAATCCAGTGACTGATATCATGAGCATCGATCCACACAATTGGGATGCCATGACATGCATCAACCAAGTCAGCGAACCTGACCACCCGATCCCGTTAGTCGCCTCCTACGACAAGCATAGTTGCCTTTTACGACAAACATGGGTTGCTGAAGACCTATTCTAGCCCGGAATCTTCACGGAATGGCCAAGCTGTGACTGGACCATATCACTAAAGACCTTACATAACTATATATACCCCATATTGTACCTAAGGATTAGTAGAGAGTGCTCGGGTTAGTTTAAGGAACTATTATTTAACTAAGTTTAAAATACGCATGTTAAAATACACACTATTTACATTCTGCTACACACATACAGGGAATGAAGGTAATAGAAATATCATGATAGTTAACAGTAATGTATAGAACAGAGTCTAACAGTCAAATACAATTTTTTACACTTTATTTACACTTGCCTCAATCTGGTAAAGTGAACATGGTGAATGCAAACCTTAGGCAAACATGAGACTTTGGAATTTGTTTCCACAATACATAATGTTATGTATGGAGTCACGGATTTGTTTTCCTAAAACACGAATGTTGACAAGACATTTCACTTCCATATTTCCTCTTTACAAATTGAATTGATTTTCATCATTTCTTGAAATTAGCAGTTTAGGCAAAAGGTACATTTTATACATTGTCAATTGACGCGATGATGTGTACATGCCACGCCGTTTTTTAAAGGGCTCTTTATTTCTATTTTTTCGACAGACTATAACACACAGTGAGTGGTATTTAACAATGCCTAGACTTAATGATAATAAACAATGATACAAATCATGATCTTGACAATATTTATAAAAATGCAGCTTATATAGCGCTAAACTCAAACACAATAAAGTCCGCTTAACAGTCTCTATTTTGTTATAAATAGTATATGATTAAATGTCTTGCAGTGCCAGTAACAATGAAACAAACTGCAAGAGAAAAAAATAGAAACATTGTCTCTTTTTGTTCCATTAGTAGATCTATTTGGAACAATCCCAGGATGAGAAATATATTATGACTCGGATTTCAACGATTATGTTTATATTTTCGAAACAGACTGCTTCCTGTCTATTATTGACACAGTGTTATTCACATTGTTAGGCTGGTTATTTCTTTTTGTTGCATCTCCAAACAATTTTATGATAAATTAACCAACGAAACTTGCTGTTCGTTAGCAGTGCGGTTAGTCTGTCTTACAGACCCTGATACATTTATATCAACTACAGCCCATGCAAGTCTATAATGTTTGGCAAGTCTAGATTACTGCAGTATCTGAAAATGAAGAGAATCACTGGGCTCCCTTTTTATTAGATTTTTATTAAGATAACTGAACAACTGTTTTTTTCTGTATGATATGTTCATTTCAGAGACTATATGTTAGTCTAGCAGTGCGGTTAGCAGGTCCAGATGGGCCCCTTTTACTTCAGGGGGAGATAACTCTCATACCTGGTGCTCGATGTAAATAAGGAAGTGTTGTGAAAGGCGAGGAAACAGCTGCCCGGTCGTGTGCACGAGGTGTGAGAATTCCATGGAAACGGTATGCAGGTTTGTCACAATGCTCTTTCAAGGTTTCGTCGGAATATCTCAAGACAAAAGTGGTCTTGCGATGCATGCCAGTCAAACACATCACTGAAACTGAGCAAGACTTTCAGCTACCCCTGTTGTAGTCTTTTTCTGCAGTTTCTCCGACACTTTACCGATTCAAATACTTCGGTATAGATTTGATACTGTAAACGTTTGATTTACACAACTGTATCCGCAGTCGCTTTCAAGTGTTATTTACAAGTAAGTCAAATTTAATCACTTGTTTCCACAATATAAGTTATGTTATGAATTTGTCCTATTGATTTTATGAATAGGGTCTTGTGATGCTAAATCTTAGAATCGAGATGCGGTGAATTCGCCGGGGTGGGGTGGTATTAGAGGTTACAGGGGGGTTAGGGGCACTTTAGTCATGTGTCAACATTTGACGCTCCCTCAATCATGTTTTGTTTACTTTATAACGTGGGAAGTGTGAACACGTACCTGAGGGGTCTGAATAACAAGTCAAAAAGCAAAATATGTTCAAAAGTAATTTTAATGATTCTCTTATCCTGATTGCTTTGTAGACTGGCTCTTGTTTTTCTTCAAATGAATTTACATCACAAATCCGTGACATTCTTCTTATTATCTTTAACAATAGATCTATGTGGGGGTATTCTAGCTTACCAGGAATTAAAACTGCTGGGTCGCATCTTGAACCCTATATATTTCTATCAGTTAGGGCTGGAACGGGTAACTCGGGTACTCGGGTCGGGTGGGTACTGAGAAGGACCCAGGTACCCACAGGACTACCCGGACCTGTGGTTAGTCATGTAGGGTGCAGGCTCTAAAATGACATCTCAGCAACATGTCGCCGATTTCTCAGGGGAAAAGGACACCCCATTTGGCGAAAATGGCAACTAATTGTCGGGCCAAAATGGCACCTCCATTTTAAATAGCGATAAGAACGATTTATGTAGTAGCAACATGCTTTATTATGATAGTTGTAGTATATGTTTTCCTTGGGCCGGGACACGGTCTGTTATCTTGTTTTATCATTTCACAATTATTTGTGTTTCCAAGTGACAATGTGAGTTTAATTTCATGTATTTCAGTACCAAGGTTAAAAAAAATAAGTTGCTGTTTTCGCGGGGCAATAGTGTTTGCACTTTAGGCGAGGTTACGTTTTGCCAATTGGTGCTGTTTTTGCTATGACCTGTCACGTGATATATTGTTTAATGACAAAAATATCTAGAACTCCATAGTTACACTACAGTCACTAATGTTTCTTTCTGACTCTGCACCCATTCCTTCTGACTTGTATGTTTGAATAAAGATGTAACTTCAGTCAACTTCAGTGTTTGCATGTCCAGATCATTTTATATGTGTATCTAAATACATTCTCTCCAGGGCTACAGCCAAACTATTCCCAAACGGACATTTTGTACACACCTCTTGAGACCTACAGCGGGTACCCGGGTAGGGTCGGGTAATAGGGTTTGTGGGTACCCGGGTAGTAAATTTGAACTCGTCCAAGCCATAGTATCAGGTCCTTTTCATCTCTTTGGAGGACAATACCAGTACTGTTTAAACACTGATCATGCTGATGACTCATGAACATTTCTGAAACCAATCTCATTAATATCAGATCTTAGTTCTCGCTATCGCTAAACAAAGATCTGAGGATATCCCATTACGGGTCACGTCAGAACAACCTTTCATCCGACCAATCAGAGCGTCGCTTACCAGATCATGAAAGTGACAGTCAGAATGTGTTTTCTCATCATGCAACCTCGAAAACGTTATAACGGGGTATTCTGAATGACAGTTACGGCCCGTATGACTGATTCCGTCAAAATTATCGTTTATCTCGCGCTTCCGTGGGTCTAACATTTGAACGGAGGAGGCGTTGCACAGTACGTAGGAAGCACTGCCATACAATTTCAACCATATATTAGACATTCCAGAATGTTCATTTGTTCAGTTTTCAAAATTTTAATCGAGAACTGTGCCAACATATTTTTCAAGCGTATTCTGAAATGGATGTTGCCAGGTTGAAACGAGTACCGTCGAGAAAGCTGCTTTCTGACTGGCTGATGTTTGTCATTTCAGTGGTTGGTCAAAGTTCACGAAAGGTCGTTCTGACGTGACCCGTAATGGGATGTCCTCAGATCTTTGTTTAGCAGCAGCGAGAACTTAGATCTGATTTGAATGAGATTGTTCTGAAACCAATTTAGCATGTTTAGCAACCAATCAAAACCCTTATTGATACATGTTTTGATTGTCTCCTCAATTTTTCTGCAAATGTTTGAAAATGACTGAATCTGCTGAAATATATTTGTGTCAAACCATTGACTACCAACACTAATCTAAAAGATGAATTTTGGAAACATATTTTACAACCACCTGCTGTACTAATTTTGGGCCAGATATTTTTTAAACCAAATAATTGATCATGATGTTAAAAGGCATAATTTATTCATCTTTTAATTTGAAATTTAACTTGGATCCAGTCACCACGACAACAAGATAGAAGGACATCGCTGATGGTAGGATGCGTTTGACAACGTGTGGATTGGGATGCAGAAGGCCGAAGCGTTTTCTCATCATCTGTGTCCTGCTGCTGCTGTTCCTAGGATGCTTCTACTTAGCCCAGGTCGTCCACGAGATCATCCGCGACATGAAATGCTCCGAGCAGGAGTCAAAGGAGGTGCTTCAACAGTATGTGAGTATAATGTAGGTCTCACGATACACCATACTCACATCTTAGACATTACGCACAACTGGCAACGGATAGTAGGTGAATGGTTGATGGGTAGTTTGGGTTGGTATGCCCCCCAGGGAGCAGAGAATACTATCAGAATTTAACTGATCTGTTGACTGGGTGCTTTGATCATAAATACTGCTGTATTCCATGGACAAAAATAAAATAAAAAATTCTGCAGTCAATTTTTGTAAATTCCGCAACCAAATTTTGATAATTCTGCACTCAATTCTGCACACTTTTAAGCTTAAGCTTTTGTGAATTTAGTAGTTTTGCATGTGTTTTGATTGTGGCAGGCTTTTTTATGACTTATTCACAGCTTTTTTTGTCCATTTTTTTCATGACCCTCAAAAATATATGTATTATTTTTTTATGACCCACCCCAAGAAATTGTTATAGTTTTTAGTGACCCTCCCGTGTTTCCCTCTTACCCACTTCCCCCAATAATTAATGACCAGTCCCTAATGTTGTCAACAATGATTCCGTGTGAATATTGCTTTAACTTAGCAATCAGCGTACAAAATCACCAATATGCACATGTACAAATATCTGAAAATTATTACACTCAATGTTTCTACCCTCATGGATAATATCATTATATAATCACTATCCTGCTTCCCATCTTCCTCAGTGTCAGATGTACCACGACAAGCGTATAGTTGGCGATCTGTGCCCTCATCTTTGTGACAATGACCGAACAATACAATATAAACAATGCACAAACTATCGTCAAGGAAAGCGAGTTTTCATCGTCCGTTGCCATGACTACTGTCAAGAAGGAGATACAGTAAGCGCTGTCCTGAAAACAAATCACAAGAACTTCTCTGACTTTCTGAACGAGGAATTCTCCTTCGAAAGAGAAGATCAAGAGAAAAACGGTCCATCAGTTGATCAACTGCAGACCATGATTAAAGACACTTTGCAAATGGACCTACATATGAACTTACCAGAAGGGACGGACCCAATAGCATTCATGTGGAAAGACAATTATTTAGACTATTATAACAAAAATGATAAAAGCAGCCAGTTTGCTCTAGCAAGATCAATATGGTCATTGGTTCGTCAGTGGGAGTATTTGATGATGAGAGCTAATCAGGAACACCAGTTCATGCCACACATCTATGGGACCTGTGGGCCGCTGTATCTAATGGAGTATGCCCCTCCAGGGGAGATGCTCGGGCATGATGTTCAGTTCACGAACCTCCCCTGGGTTGATAGAGCCAAGGTGGCCAAGAGCATTCTGGGTATTTTATGGTCGATCCAAGAGGATATGCATGAGCCTGTACACTTGTGTGATGTGAAGGGAGAGAACTTTGGGGTTTCGGAGACTGGTCAGGTGAAACTGATTGACACGGACACAGTATTTTATGACAGTAAGATGATGGATGAGCTAGCCTTCGGGAACTGTTCCCGGAACAAGGAGTGTGACTTCTTTGACTGCCGTGGATGGTGTGATCCCGGGACAGGTCAGTGCGCCAAGGTGCGCATCAACAACAACCTACAGGTGAGTGGTGCTTATTCACAGAGAGAGTTGTTGAGTTTAACGCTGCTTCAAGCAGTATTTCATTTGCATCACAGCAGTTCGGCTTATTTAGGGACCGAAGTGGTAAACCTCTGAGACCCACGTCACTTTGGGGCTTTCCTCTCACATTAAGCTGACACGCCACGATATAATCGGAATACTGTTAAAAGCGGCGTAACACACCCCCCCCACACACACACACTCACTCTCACTCACTCACTCACTCACTCACCTCACTCACTCACTCACTCACTCACTCACTCACTCACTCACTCACTCACTCACTCACTCACTCACTCACTCACTCACTCACTCACTCACTCACTCACTCACTCACTCACCCACCCACCCACCCACTTATACCTCCAAAGACATTTCTTATTATTAACTATATTATCAACAATAACTTCACAGACTCTTATTTAATTATTAACAGAACAATATAAAATCACTGACATTGTGTACTGCAGTTATGCCAACCAAGCCTCTCCCAAACTATTATTATGATATTGATAAATATAATTATCTTGCCTCCGTGTCAGAATGTGATTGGTTCACATGATTTTGATAAAATACTACGTATCTTGTCTGGGAGGAAAATATATTTCTGTGCAGGACAATAAATCCCTTATACACCGCCACGAAGAAAACCGGCTACATATGGATTTCTCAGGGACAAAAATATCTCTGGCACCCCTCTACGAAGCATGAAGCTGCACATTGTTTACGAGTCAATGAAAGTCATGTGACACAGGGGGCGGTCGGGTAGCCTAGGGGTTAAAGCATTCGCTCGTTACACCGAAGACCCGGGTACAATGTGTGAAGCCCATTTCTGGTGTCCCCTGCGTTGATATCGCTGGAAAATTGCTAAAAGCAGCGTAAAACCATACTCACTCACTCACTCATGTGACACAGCACAAGTTGACTTCAACTGAATCAAACAGCATTCAATATGTTTGAATTTGTTGACAATGGCAGATTGAAACATGTCGCCAAGATAAATTTGTTGTAGCAGTATCACTCGCGGTATATCATGTTTTATGCGACCCTCATTGCCTCGCCTCCGGCACATGGTATAAAACCTAAAAGATATATAGAAGCACAAACACCCGGAGTGATACTGCCACAACTTATAAGGTCACTTTGGTGTACCGGGTAATAGGTTCATTTCAAGGTTATTATCAAAAAACATATTAACGATTAATATTTGTACCAGTGTGTATAAGTTACCAGTGTGAATAAGATGTGTCTGTTAAGTGCTTGATTATGGACTATAGTGAATGAGTTAGTATAGTTTTACGCCACTTTTAGCAATATTCCAGCTATATCATGGCAGGGGATACCAGAAATGGGCTACACACATTATACCCATGTGGGGAATCAAACCCAGTTCTCTGGCATGACGCTGTTACCACTAGGCTACCCCTCCGTCCCTGATGGACAATAAAGTGATGAAAGCTGGTATGTTGGTTGCCATCAGTGAGATCGTAAATATGGCTCTGCTTTTATTTTCCAGAGTGTGTGTCAGGATGTGTTCCTTGGCAAACTCATGGACTCCGTCGGAGGTCTACTCAGGAATCCCCCTCGTGCCATCAAGGCTCAACTCAAATCAATCCTGGACAAATGTGCTTTCAGTCAGACCTCCGAAGATGGTATCCCCGTCCAAAAACCATCAGAGGAACTTTACTGGCGCCTATATAACCTTCTACAGAACAGCATTGACAGCCAGAGTTAGCAGATTACCATGCTTATTCAGATACCCTCAGTCCCACTTTGAAGGCAAGGATAAGGTTGACTTAGACGTATTCAACACACCATTTAACACTCACCATGATCACCCGTGAATATATATGGTCGCCATGCAGTGCGTGAAACATATTCCCTATGAAGTGCGTGATTACATATGACCACTATGCAGTGCATGAATACACACGGTCGCTATGCAGTGCATGAATACATATGGCCGCTGTGCAGTGTATGAATACATATGGTCGCTATGCAGTGCATGAATACATATGGCCACCATGCAGTGCATGAATACATATGGCCGCTATGCAGTGCATGAATACATACAGTTGTTATGCAGTGCATGAATACAAATGGCCGCTATGCAGTGCATGAATACATATGGTTGTTATGCAGTGCATGAATACATATTGCCGCTGCAGTGCATGAATACAAATGGCCGCTATGCAATGAATGAGTACACACGGCCGCTTTCCAGTCAGCCCCAGTTGTATTCAACAATTCCGCGGTCATGGAATATTTCGAAGAAATGCCCACTTGGTGCAGGAATCTACCTATCTTGCAGCAAATCACTTTTTGTGCAGAACTCGTGCAGAAACTTGCATTAAACAGCTGCAGAATTTGTCAAATGCACTGCAGAATTTTATCATGTGAGTCAAAAGCTGGTTTCAAACTTGTAAACAGATATTTATTTTGTTTTGAAGTGAAGTTGACTTTTGTATTATTGCTTACTGAAAGTGCATGTCTGTACACCAGTGATCGCTAGATTCACTTCCATGAGCTATTTTAGCCGTGAATAAGTTTGTCTTGAAAATGCCTGCCTCAGGTCAAAACTACAAATAGTCATGAAAACTAAGGTTGAAATCTGCAGAATTGTGTCCAGAATGGTCAAATTTCGTTGCAGAAATTACAAACATTTACCGCAGAATTTTGATTTTGGGGCCGAAGAATACTGCGGAGTAATGTGTATAGTTAGTAAACTGATATGATGAGGTCGTTTATGACTCATGGAAGGTCAATTCTACCATGCATTGAAATATGATGTAATTTGATTGGTGAATTTGAAACAAATTTGAAGTGGTTATTAAACCATGTAAAATGATAACCTCTTCATAACACATCCCTGCACTGAAAACATGCAAAAGAAAAAGAGTTGATAAAAAAAAACGCATTTTAGTCACGGTAGAATGGAGATAAACCAATTCTGTTTTTAAATTTGGATATGGTTTACCGGCTTAATCAACAATTAATGAACCCCCTAAATATTTTAAAGGCTTCTCCATGTATGAAATTTGTGTGAATCTTACTGTTAGTACTCACTGGTCTGAGCATCGCTTGCTTCTCTGTTGTGGAAGTGTGGACTTTGCTTGATTCGTTCATTGAAAATAGCATCACTGCACTGCAAAGAATGGTTATACCATGACCTACATAACTAGGGTTCAGGGGACCCCTAGTAATTAATTTCAAGAGTCCTAACAGGGTTGTGTAAAGTGGTGAAATGGTGTAGTGTACTGTACTGTAAGATTTGATAATTACCATATTCAACGTAATAAGCGCCCTCTCAAAATTAGAAATAGGGGGCGCTTATTAGAATATTATTTTGAGTTGAATGATCGTAAAATTCGTGGTTTATGCTAACAGCCTGAAATGTTTACATACGACAGATATATTTTTCAAGAATTTAATTGCCCATAATTAAGGGTGATATAACATACAAGTGTGTATCATACACGAATAAGTAAGTCTTGTTTACATTGATCAATCGGAAGGGGTGCTAATTGGGATTGTTCAGTAGCCAATATATTAGCAAATATCGCCGTTGGTGCTTATTAGAGTGGGGCGCTTATTACATCGAATACGGTACTTAAATTACAGGAACTATATATTTCTTGTCAAAAATATGATACAATCAATATCACTGTGCATTCTCTGGAAGCAGTTATATCTTTCTGTGTTCATTCTATACATTTGTGCATACTAGATGCACATTTCTGAGTCTGTAAACCCCTGTGTTTATTCACGGTTGATGGAGGGATTTAGTGTAGACAGGTTTTGACAATGACTTAAAATTATGTATGATGAATGTTATTGCCAATTGTTGGAATTGTAACACTTATTTTACAAGTGAAATGTATTTTCAACAGTCTCATTGACATCTGATACAATACCTCCCTGCTGTGAAGATCTGAAGACACCTCCAGAGGTCGTGAACTTTCTAATCAGCCAATCAGCATCGAGGCTTCTAAATTCTTGGTATATGTTAGAAAATCATTCAGACCAAAGTATCTGATTTCTGTATCTCGAAAACAAATATTATCAAGGAAATCCAAATGCGAAAATTTGAAGCCATGCTATTGTAATGTTGTTATTTTATACATTCTGTCATGTGTGAGAGCCATGGAATCTTTACACAGTGTTAGAAATTGGCACTAGTCCTATAGTCCTTACCAAAATGCCCAATAGTTAAGGTATCATAAGGACTAGTAGAAATTTGCCATTTTTAAGGGTTTTGCTATATGTTCATTATAAGGACTTGTAGACTAAAACAGTTAGTTTCTATGGCTGTTTACCCAAAAGGGTTTCGGGAATATGGAGAATGTATTTGTTTTTCGCGGCAGAGATCGAAGTTTCAGAATTGATGCAGTTTTGCCAAATTGTTTTGGGGTGCTGGCATTTGATTAGCTTGAGAACCCACCTGTCTTTCATTTTGATAGGTCGGGAAGGTCACTCCGGGTTCGCCTGTCACCTACCATGGAGGAGTCAAATTTTGGCACAGGCAGGTATCATATATAGGAGTTAGTAAAAATCTGATTTTAATGAGATTGGTATTTTCATTTGTTTTAAGTTGAAGTATTACACTTATACCTCGATTATTTTGTGTATCATATCTCCAATGTAATATGGTGAATACCCTGGTTTGCCACCATAAGGCAGGAAGTGATGTCACACCTCCATTGCTCTCTTAGCACAGGATTTCACTCGCTCATTGGTGTCATTTGATTGGATGGTTATTTTTAGCATCATGTAATTTGAATGGGACAAAATGAAGCTATGGTGTCAAATGGGTCACATTATTATGGTGATATAATACCCTAGCTTACCTAGGATGGGTCTGGTGCCAGATACCCATGATTTGCATGCTGTTATATTTACATCATCATGCTTGTATATCTTCAAGGCTTATTGGGTGTTGAGTATTTTGTTTTGAGAATGTTCTCACGTTATCTTTATGTTTTCTTGCCTATCGGATGTTTTATTCATATATATTCATCTTGCCATTGTCCCAACCAGTTGAAGAAAATCCACAAATGTCTTACAAGGCATGTAGTTAGATACTGTTAGACTGACTGTTTCAGTTAGAGTTCTGCTTTCTATGATTGATGAACAGATGACACATATGAGCAAAAGAATAAAATGATTGATGGGGATAATGATTGGAGCACCACATATTAAAAGCAAAATGTCAGAATTTGACAAGAATGTGGTGTAATCAATCACAATTTCCTTAATAACATAACTCTGAAAGTTAAACACACAATCTGTGATGTCGTGCAATATGATGTAATTTCCCTTCAACTGCCTAAATGTTTGTGTGCAAACTTTGAATAATACTCCTGAACTATTTGTTGGTGGATAATACCTCTAAGGTTACATTATTGCTAAAATGTAGGTCAGTGTGTCTCAAAGTAGACAAATTTTCTCAAAAACTATTTAAGTCGGAGAAATGAAATTTTTACACACTGATGCTACTGGTCATGATCTCAAATAAGTTCAAAAATTGGTGTTGTAAATTCATCTTTTACAGAGTTATGGGCCTTGCTCCTTGCTTTTCAATTAGAGCATGCAACATAAAATGGGAACAAGTTTTCTCAGAAACTACTGAAGTTATATGAATGAAAGTTTGCATACGTATCTAAGAGATACTTGTCAAGACTGAGTTTGAAAATTGGTGCTGTCAATTGTATTTTACAGAGTTCTTGCCCTTGATCCATGTTATTTTACATTGTGCATAGTGTTTGTAATGGGGACAATTTCCTCAAAAACTACTAAGTTACTTGACTGAAAGTTTGCATGCTTGCCTAAGAGATACTTGTCGAGACTGGGGGAGTTCGAAAATTGGTGCTGTAAGTAATTTCTTTACAGAGTTACAGCCCTTGATCCATATTATTTTACTTGATGCATGTGCTGAAGTTAGCTTATCTAAGAGATCCTTATCAAGACTGAGTAATTTATTCCAGAGAAGGGACCTTTTGTATGTTATAATTTCACATTTAATCATTTTTTCTGTTGACATAAAGCAGTCCAAGTACCTATTTCTTCCTACGGCTTGATGGGTCTCTTTCAATAGCTTATATTCGCTACTATATGAACAAACAGAATTCTAATGTGTCCCATGACAGCGAATAGTGATAACGCGATTTTCTTGTTGTTGTTATTATCATTATTATTATCATTATGTTCTATGAAAACTATATAATGGTATGTTCTTGTTATTGGATGCATGATTTTTATGCAAGTGGGCCATTTATGCTTGTCGGCCATTGTACAAGATGACAAGTGTATTCAATTATTTATCTGAAAAAAATTAAGCACCATTCGTTATGTGTTTTCATACAACATTATACACATTTTGAAATCCAGAAACTGATATCAATATTTGATTGACGTATTCCATCACTCTTACTTGATTATCTTTCTCTTGCTTCCTCTGTTTCTTTGCTTCGTTTGCTGTGAAAAACGACTATGTTTGACGTTAAAGGCGACTATGCTTGTCATAAGAGGCGACTAACAGGATCGGGTGGTCAGGCTGGCTGACATGGTTGATGCATGTTTACGAATCCCAATTATGTAGATCGATGCTCATGATGTCAATCACTTTATTGTCTGGTCCAGACTTGATTATTTACTGACCAATGTCATATACATGTAGCTGGAATATTGCTGAGTATGCGTTAAACAACAAACAAACAAACAAAACTTTGCATTGTATTAGATGACTCAGTCCTTGCAACCATCTGGAGGAAGATACAGAGGTTGTTGTGTTCTTGTATCATCTTAGTCCACAGATATCCGTAGTATCTTTGTCATTTATCACCATGATACCAACATCCTTTGTAGATATTTCCTATAGATTCACAGGGATATATGACTATATAGAAGTGATGCTAAACCTTTTTCAAGGTGTATATGTTGTCCTGTGCAGTATGGAGGCTGAAGGGGACATGTAAACAACAACAATGTATCCAAGGCACCTGTATGCAGAAATGTATCCTGGCCGAATTTGTATTAAAGCAATGATTGTACATTTCCTTTTCATGATTATTAATTGAATTGTTTTAGAAACTATCGGTATTTCATCACTTGGTGAACATTTTGATTTGGAATTTACACATCTAAAGCATTACATTATCATTTCATGATTATGAATTTGATATTTTTAGCAACTGTTTTATAGCTTGGGTAACAATTTTGTTTTGTATTTGCATATTGTATTTACATTGTACAAATCAGTTCAACTTGACATTATTATCTCAAACTGGGTCTACTTGAGGTATGAACTACTTGGTTTGTATTTTCTATTTACCAACTTGTAGTCAGCAAGTTATATGAGAATATCAGTACTTAACATGGAAATAGAGGCTATTTTAATTATACCCTTTAGTTTGTGTCTCTCAAGACGTTGAAATGGCATTTTTTTAGAGATTTAACTCAATTGACACCTTCCTGAAAACCTATATCATGCACAGTCCAATCAAAGGATGCTTCATTTTTTATTAGTACATGAATTCATTTGCAAGTCTTTGCTTCTGACCACCACCCTGACCAACAAGGAGGCGGACTTCAGGAGGGGTCTGATAGGAGTGGTCATTTGTTCTGGGTCAGCATGTCAGGATTAGTGCTCACTACCGCTAAACAAGCATCTGAGGACATCCATTAGAACCTTTCATGAACTTTGACTGACCATTGTAATGATTCACTAGAAGTCGACATTGGCCAATAAGAAAGCAGCTCTCTCTCGAGCTTTATGGCACTAGTTTCAAACTGGTGACTTCCTTTCCATACTACGCTTTGAAAAATATTGATTCAAAATTTGAAAATTGAACAAAAGAACATTCTGTAATTTCTAATAGACGGCCTAGATTGTATAGCAACAGGCTATACAAAGTCTCTTCCATTCAAATGTTTATCCCTTGAAGCGAGAGTAGACGATGATTTTGATGGATTCAGTCGTACAGCAAGTAACTGTCGTTCGGAATACCCTGTGTTAACCTTTTCGAGGATGCGTGATTAGAAAACACATCCGACTTTCCCGATCTGGTAATGGAATGTCCTCAGATCTTTATTTAGCGGAAGTGAGAAATAAGATCTGATCTCAATGAGATGGCATGTAATGATATTATTACTTAGACTGTAAAATGGTCTCAAATGTTTTTAGACCTTACTTACAGTAAATGGTTGAACATGGCAATGTTTATTATTTTTTTTATGATTCTTTTTCATAGAGTTAATGTTTAAGAAACATCTTGCACTATTAAACCACCTTTTTGGGTGTTATTATTTACAATAGTACAATACATCAAGTAGGGCCAACTGTGCTGAGTCTAATTTTGGTTTATTGTCATTTTTTAGGATTTATGTTAAAGCAGTCAATTTAATTTAACACTAAGATGTATTTCAACATTATCCTTTTATGACTAACTTACAGACCCGTGCAAAAATTTGATTTTGGATAAAAATCTTAATTTGTTAAGTTTAGCAATGGGGATTTTAATGGCCCGACAAAATCAACTTTTCTCAACTAAGAAAAACTCCCATCCTATATAGTGCAATAGGATGCACCGGGCATATGCGAGGACTTGTCAAAAAATGTATTTGTCATTCTTCATGACAGCATGATTTTTAGTACTAAAGGGAATACAACATTTTTGAGGATTATGTTGGTTTGTTTTTGTTTGTTTTCTTCTGTTTTCTTCTTTTTAATGTCTTTTCTTTTATTTTGGGGTTGTGTGTGTCTCAAAGCTTAATTAAGGAAGACCTAAAAGGGCTGTTGTATAAAGTTATACCAAGGACTTTTTATGTGTGCGACCTACTACTTGAAAACTACTAAATAGATTCTTTTCCAACCTGGTGAACACTTTTTATACCTATAGGAGAGGTGGACTGAAAGTTTGATATCAATATTTGGATTTTCTGAAAAAATACAGCTTTTTAAAAATTCTTTTACTTAGATTCATTTTTACTGAAACATTTGTGCTACCTATAACTTGAAAGCTACTGCATGGATTCTTGTCAAATTTAGGGAACAGTTTCCATACGAATAGAAGGAGCAGAGCAAAGTTTGATTTTCTGAGAATATATTTCTTTTTTTGTTTTTTAACTATGTTGGAGTCGAAGTCAGGGTATTGGTGAGCCCTGCTCACTTTTTGTCATGTTTTATCCTACATTGAACTTTTCAACTGGTCCCTAAGGACCTTACACTTACGACAGTGTTTTGGCACTGCTTTATGCCAGTCCATTTAACCCGTCAGGTTACTGATCACTGATGGTTTGTTGGGGGAAGCTTTTTGCTACATCTGTAGCTTGCGTGGCAGGATGCTTAATGAAGGATGGGGATGCTCTTGATTTGTTGAGTATATCATTGCAAGGGTACCCATGTGTTTTATGTTCAGATAATTACTGTTAGTCCAGAAAGTGATATTTCCTCAGATTTACTGCTGGAAACCTTACAGTATCAAAAGTGTCATTCATCGTTCATGGACTCATTAATTCAGAAATTTGGGGACACAGACAGTTTGA